AAATATTTTTTGAAGTAATTTTGGAGAAATCTCGTTACCAATTCCTTTCCTGACCACGTACGCTGCCTTTGAAGCTTTTCCGGCCAAAATTGCACATTCCAACTTAAATGAACCATTATCGGCAAAGACAACACCTAGATATGTATAATTTACAACAATATCAATTTGATTTCCAAATAGTTTCAAATCCAAGTTATCGTCATCACAGTCAAGAATATACTATTGAAGATAATAATTTCAGTTTTAGTGGTGTTTACAAATATTTTCCACGTATAACAATAAAATTGAAATCTGGCAAGTAACAACTGTAAACCCGAAGCACTATCAGATACAATAACGGTGTCGTCGGCATACATAATACATGTTAGTGGATAAGCATCAAATTCAACCCCATTAAATGGTGCTTTATTCAAAGCCTTTTCTAAATCGTTTAGAAAAAAACGAAAATTGGACTTAATATGCCTCTTACCAAAACAACTCAATAGGGAAATATCACGGTAATTAGCGGGGTCGTGTATGCTACCTTTCTTAAAAATTGGACAAATCAGTAATCAAATCTTGATTACTATTTTGAATAACTCATTTCTAAAGCCATCAAATCCGGGTTATTTTTTTTTCATTTTTAATTTCTTTATTGCAGCTATCACTTCCTCCGTACTAATCTCCATATCTAGTTGTACACTATCAATATAATCTTGTCAACGTGTATTATCATGAGTGGTAATTTCAGAGCCCACTGTCTGGGAAACTGGTGCTTTACTCAAACGCTCAAAATAATTAAACTAATCTGTGTTCGAAATATATGTATGTATATAAAAATCAAATCCTAAATTATCCTTCCTTGTCATCGCTTCAAATAACGTGATACTGTTGTATTTTCATTTTTGCTGAAAGTTTCCCGATGGATGTACTTTATAAAGAAGCAGTATCTGTACTGGTTTCAACTCTTCAAAATATTACAATACAAGAAGCTGAGTGTACTCTAACTAAGCGTGTTTTACTATATATATATATATATATATGTATTAGAAACGCCATGAGCAAGTGTAGGTTTTAGTGAAAATCTCGTACATGGACAGAGTGTGCTAGCCAAAACTACGGCTGTATTATTGTAAACACAAACAGTCAGCATCAGTGTATTTTGTATATGTGGTTTAGAGGGAAATGCCAGTACATTTATTAATCTTGTTACGCGTTTAGTGTTATGTACTCGTCAGTGTCTCGGTCATTCAAATAGAGTCACGTGACAGTTTAGCATAGAAAAAAATAAATGATTAATTTGATAATTGTTGTATAATAATTTTTCTTTTTTAGCTCCGCTTACGACTTTGTCGATCGGAGCTTATCATATAACTGATTGTCCGCCATCGTTCGTGTCAACTTTTTTATTTTCAACTTATTCTTGAAAACTAAAATTCTTATTGCTTTGATTCTAAGTGTCGTGTACATTGAGCAGACCTCTCTTAGATTTTTTTCATTTCGTGTTGACATTTAATTCTCCAATTTTGATGAATACTTTTGTAA